CCAAGTTGGTCTTGAAAGCTGACTCCAGTCATTCCGGATTGTTGGTGATGGTCCAGCAACATTTCAAGGGCCACAGATTTCCTTCTGGAAGTGTAAATCCAAAGAAGGCTGCAGTATTACTTGGCCCCAGAAAGCTATGTGTGCATTACTTTCCACATCTCTCTGGAGGCTAAGATGACATGGAGCTGCTGTGGGAGGAGAACCATGTCCATTGCTGGTGGCAAAAATCAGGAGAGTCTGGTAGTACTTTCTCTGAATTTTTATTTTAGTACTTTTAATAAATCTTTTAGCAATTTTTATTAAAAGGCATAAGCTTTTGTGAGCTGCAGCTTATGCCTTTTAATGAAATTTATTAGTTGGGAAAGGTGCTGCCAGCCTACTACTGACTGAGCCCTGCTGTACTTCCAGAGAAAATATTCTGTTTTAAGTTTTTTTCAAAGAGAAACATGTATTGCCATCAATCTAAGTTAAAAGAAATATCAGAGAAGATGCCCATTTTCAAGAATCTGTGGTAGTATTGACCAAAAAAGGGGGGGAACGTCAGTTGTTTTCTCTTTTCCAGGAGAACTTGTGACTCACTTGATTTTCCAGTCAAAGAAATGTGGGATGGTGTTACTTTCAACACGAAGATGATAAGGTTTAGTAGACTGTCTTAAGTTGATGGGGTCCCCCGCTATTTGATTTTTTACAAGCTTTCAGCTGCCTTTTAAAGCAGGGGTCCCCAATCCCTGGTCCATGGCCGGGTGTCGGGCCACAGCCCATTCAGAACCGGGCCACAGAAGTAGTGGGCGAGTCTGTATGCAAACAAAACTGCATTTGTGAAAGCAGTGTGCATGCACAAAACCATACCCTCTTCCCCGCCCCCCTGCTGCCACCACCTCCACTGGTCTACCCAGCCGGAAAGATTGGGGGATGCTGTTTTAAAGGATGGAAGCCAACCAGGTGAAAAAATAGACACAAACACTTTTTCATTTACCAGTTTCATTAGTTGTCTTCTAAGTAACTGTTAATATAAAGTAAGTCACTGTAAACTTATTAAATGAAATATGTAGTGTTTCTTTAGTCCAGGGGAAAGATTACAGAGAAACTGTTTAATGTACTAAGGTGGTAATGTGCTTTAGATCAGTAAATGTTTAATTAGTTTTTAAATAATTGTTAATATAAGCTTTTATAATTGTAAGATTAAATACAACATACGTGTTGTTAGATCTAAAATGTAAAAGAAATGAAAGATTACAAAGAAACTGTACTTAGCATACTAACGTGGTGATTCGCTTCAGATCAGTAAATTCAAAATTTTTCCTTCTGTATTATAGATGCAGTACTAACATGAAATGTTTTTCTAATTCTGAGAGCAAAATTAACCTTAGGTTTATATCACACCTTTACAGAAAAGAAAAGGACATTTGTAATGTTCCTGCTTTCTATTCTTCCTACAACAATACTCCTGTGAGGTGAGCTGGTGTCAAAGAGAGACTCTCTGGCATGAGAAAGCAGGACGCAGGATAGAGTTAAAAAATAGCTACAAGTTTATTCCCATGCAGCCTATACAAAAATCTGATCTACTAATGGTCAAGGCAAATTGGTGGCAGATAAGCATCAATGGACTTCAAGGGGGGGCTGGACTTAGGTACCTTTAGGGGACGTAGGGACTGCAGACTGATGATGCATTTGATCTTGTCCTCAGGCCCATGTCTTACAGAGCCTGTTCCAGACAGGAGGAAAGATCAAGCAGGAATCAGTCTGGAATTGCTATTTGCAAGAAGGCAAGAACTGCCCTCTCTTGAATGTTATTGAACTTTATCTAGTTTTTCTCAGAGGCAAATTGCCAGCCTGAAAAGATTGCAGTGAAATAGACATTGAACAATAAAGTAGTCAATTTATACTCTATATGTGTGGATCCGGTTATTTGTATGTGATGGTTGGGCTGGGAGAGAGTGACTGGACCAAAGTCACCCAGCTGGCTTTCATGCCTAAGGCAGAACTAGAATTCACAGTCTTCTGATTTGTAGGCCAGCACCTTCAACACTACACCAAACTGGTTTTAGTTCTCTCCCAATCACACTGGACTGGAATCATGCAGGCAAGGTGACAAATAAATTCTGAAAGAACCATGGATAAGTATTACTTATTTTTTTAAAAAATGGAAAGCCACCACTCTATGAATTTCAGTTGTCCAACTTAATTATAGTAAGAATGTTGAAACCTTCTTGAGTTTCATTTTATCCCTGCTCTAAATAGCGGACGACTTGGCCTCCTCTTTTGAGTGAGCTGACCTATTTCAATCTGGTTTTGCAATGGTCAGATTTGCTCTCACTTTCCCTGACAACCTCAGAACTAATTTTTCACAAAACCCACTTTCCACAATGCATGCATATTTGCATACTCTGTAGAAATGCCATTCAGGTCATATCAGTCATTTAAATTAATTTCAGATCATGCATATACTTAGTTTGAGTTCAGATGCTAACTGCAAAAAATTCTGAATGATCTCCCACTGGGACCTGCTTTGTTGTTAATAAAGAGCGATAGCATCTGAATAGTAAAGAGGGTGGGGGGGATTGGTACAGGAAAATAGAAGCTAAAACCTGCCATGATTTACCTGAAATAAGGAGAAGAGAAAAAACTCCAATTGTCCCTCAAGGGCAGACTCCCCTTTAGCACTAATAATATTAAACAGCCTACCTTGGATGATTTTCTTCCTGGGCCTTCTCTTGGAATTTAATGGAAGTGTGGGAAGCCAGGGAGGATGTAAATCACTAGGGAAAATATATAAATTTCCATCAACTTTATGGCCAGCATTTAAATGCAGAATTACAAGCATATTCCACCTCTGGTTTTGCCATAAAAGCAAAAAAAAAAAAAAAATGGGCAAAGATACATAGGTGGCTAGAAAAGTTGATAGGGAAACATAGATTTTAAACCTGAATTGTTTTTATTAGGTATAATATCAGGAAAAAATTGATAAGAAAAGAATGTACGTAATATTACATGTCTTAACAGCAGCAAGAATTATTCACACAATACTGGAAACATAAAGACATACTGCGAGATGAAGAGATAGTCAGGAAGATACTAGAATGCACAGAATGGATAGATTGACATTGAAAACTAAACAGAAAGAAGATATAGAATATTATCAAACATGGAATCTATTTTACCAATGGTTGGAAAAACAGGTGGAGATTAAGAATGTAGATTTGTATTGTTAAGCACATTAAATACCCAGACATTAAGCACTAAGAAATGTATTTAATAGAAATCAATTTAAAAAAGAATATTCCATCTCTGGGAAAGTCCTCCTCTCCTTTGAAAGAGATGTCTATCTAAAGCAAATTCTCTTTCTTTGCTGATAGGAAAAAATAGAGAATAATTGCTTTGCCAAGCACCCAGTTGGATGGTGCATTTTCTACCCATCCATCTTTCATTAGCTGATTTATCCATGTTGTCTGGAGATGATAAGTATCTGCCTGTCTGTCTGTCTGTCCGTCCGTCCGTCCGTCTGTCTGTGTATCTAATCTAATCTAATCTAATCTAATCTATCATCTATCCAGCCATCTCAAAAAATGCAGCTCTGAATGATGTACACCTAGTCAACGTAAACAGATACAGTATTCTATTTGCGGAGTGCCATTGATAATGGGCTGAATGGAACAGGGGTATCAAATGGCAGAGAATAGCCAATATACTCTAAAAATAATTTCATTAAGCTCTTCTTGATAGAGCTCTGATAATTAAATAGGTCTTATTGGGGCACTGCTTGGAGTCACAAGGTCAGTTGATGTGGTCATTTTTAAAGAGGTTCCACTCTGAGCCATTTGCAGGAAAAAAAACACGACCTAATGATGAATACATTTATTCTGGAGTAAGGTTGCAGGAATTATTGACTTAATCAAATGCAGTATTTAATTATTTAGTACTCTCTCATAATAGATTAGCACTTCATTTTCAAAATATCTCTGGTTCTGAGCAGCAGGTAAACTGGAATAAAAATCAGAAATAGAAAATATTTAAAATAAATATGAACTTCTACTGCAGTTTCATTTTTACAATGAGCACTATTTCATGTAAATAGATGATGATGATGATGATGATGATGATGATGATGATGATGATGATGATATCCATACAGTCATGTCTAACTCTTGGCAATTCTCTGGGCCAGGTCTCTCCACATCTCCCGATCTTGCATTATTTCTTTGAGTTGTTCTGTGCTCTGGTTGGTGTCTGCTTTGGTGGTGTTCAGTCCCCATGTTCTTTGACGGCCTGGTTTTCTTTTACCACTAACTCTTCCAAACATAATTGCTTTCTCCAGTGAATTCCCCTGCATTGCATGGACCAAAGAAAATGAGACACAGTTTCCTGATTTTCCTTCTCGTGACATGATGAATCAGAATTTAATTTGAAACAGGTTAAAATATTTCTCGGGGAAAAAAGTGACAAGAATTGTTACCATTTTAATTGCTACCTTTTATACATTATTATGTTGTTTTGTAGTTTTTATTATTTATTTGTTAAATTAATATGCCACCCACATCACTCTACAAAGTATCTCTATTAAATGCTTAATATTTGTGCTTTGTTTAGTTATTTCTTAATTAAATAATTAATATATTTATATTTAATATGTTTATTATGCCACCCATTTCCCTGTTCAGAAACATAATTGCTAGCTTCTCAAATGTTTGGATCCCGATTGAATGCTAGAGGAATTGAAAGCTTTGATGCATATAAGACCAATTTGATCCCTATTGAACAAATAGTACTGGCTACTAGAAAAAGCCTTCAAAATATTTCAACTGTAAGATTGGGTTTTTTTAAAAAAAGAGTTTATTACTCAAAATGTACTAAATACTATTTCTCAAATTTGAACAAGTCCTAAATTAGATACAGCAGCTTTCTTACAGATTATTGATGGGTGTTCTATCGTTAAGGATGGAAGTGGTTTACTGTGGTGACATATTGGTGATATTTCATTTTAAATTCTGTTTTAATTTCAGCCCAGCCTAAGCCAAGTGAACCTCCTGCTCTCAGAAATACCACCAGCAGCAGCACAACTGTAGAACCAGGTAAAAACATGGGAGGGAAAACTTTATTTAGAAAGAACCTTTTTAAACCTATGGTGTGTTTTGCTATAAAGATGAGAGGACCTCTCAGGCTCCGGTTCAGAATATTTTTCTTCTTGTTTTCCTCCTCTAAACCTAGATGCGTCTTATGGAGCAAAAAATACAGCAAGCTGTTACTAAGTTAACAACTGCAATGGTTCAGTTAACAACTATGGCAAGAAAAATCATAAAATGGGACAAAACTCACATAACAATGTCTCGCTTAGCAACAGAATTTTTGGGCTCAGTTGTAGTCATAAGTCGAGGGTTACCTGTAACATCATTCTCCAGGCTGATATGCATATATGCAAGCTTTGTGCAATACTACTACCAGTAGTTGCTCAGCCATTCCATAAGCAAATCATTTATGAATTATAATATATTTCAAATTACACTACTCTATATTTGCATATTTACCATTTTTCAACTTCTCCACAGCATTTATGACCTACATTTCCTTAATTTATTGTTATGGCTTTTCTGTACTAAAACCTTAAAGCTGTTCTGCTTCTATTCATAAGATGATGGGAAATGAAGTCAGGCTTAAGAAATGCCTTTCTGAATTTTCTCTGTTTTGGCCAAGATGATAGCCTGATACACTTTCCCTGGATTTACCATGAGCCCTGATTGATGGACCTCCCTGTATTTCTTTATCTTTCCCATCTGTGTCAGGGAAACAAGTTTGAATCACTTTCATTTCTGTAGGGGATTCCTTGAAAATACATCATTTCTTTTAAGTGAACCTTCTCCATTGATTCTCCCTTATAGCTGACTTTTTTCCATCAGCATCTCTCCGATGGGAAAAGAGGAAAAAACTACAGTTCTATTATTTTTTCCTGTCACTAGAGTCAGAAGGGAAAAGTAGCAGAACATTTTCCAGTTGGAGGAGGAGGAGGAGGGAGGAGGGAAGAGGAAGAGGAAGAGGAGGAAAAACTTCTCTTTCACTGTTCCATTACTGAACTTATCAAAGACAAAGCAACCCTTTTCACTTTCTCATTGGTGAACTTGTAAAAATAATATGGCCATGGATGGCAGTGATTGGAAATTGCTCCTGTCACTATACTCAACAACCAAACGGAATGGAGATGTTTGTCTCTGCTAATAGAAAAATGTGTGGACTGACACAAGTTAAAAACACTACTTAGGTGGTGTAGCAGGAAATGGTGTGCAGAGGTTGCCTTTCTGGTGGACCTGGCGTTGGAGAAAGGAAACAACATCACACAGTCCTTTCCTTGAGAAATGGCCAGTGGGCTAGGCTCATGCCAAGGCAAGCTAGTAGTGCAGACTAACGTGTCAATAATTCACATTCAAATCTTTAAAAGACTCCTTCTGGCATTGTTTTAGTTCAGCTTCATCCCAAATCATTTATCACTTCATTTTCAATTCTATTCTCTCTACTGGCTGTTCCTTGTTTATTCTTCTCCACTTCCAAAAGAACTTCTTATTCACTCTTCATTTTCTCTGCTTCTTTTTCTCTTAAATTCCAAGTTTTAATGTCCCATGCACCACTGTCATCCCTAGAGGAATAAACTTCTTCAGGGGCACAGAATGAGCTGTATGGTTCTCCCAGGCATCTCCTTCGTCTGACTGCTGTATTCTGATCGTTGATGGAAGATAGACTCTTCAGAACAACAGCATTCCAAAATATGATGATGTATCATTGATTTAGAAGTTTGCCTGGCCCTGTCATTGCTTTCCAAAATCCATGTCATAGAGATCGGATGGGGGCGGGCTGACCAATTTTTACTACATCCGTCCTATCTCTTCCTGATTGCCAAGGAATATAATCTGTTTTCCTGTTTGAAAAATGAACTGCCGAATGAGAAATTATGCTGGTGTTTTCCAGGAATGCAACCCCTATTTTCAGTTGTGCAGTAGCAATCAGTGTGTACCTGGGAATCTGCTGGACAAAAATAGTTAAGTGCCCCACTGGGATTCTTCCCAGGCAGAGGCGTCTACCTCAGCAGTGGTATTTGAGGTCACCTGTGCTCCATGCACACTCACCTCAGTGACATTTTTTATCAAAGAGGCAGGAAGCTGTGTGGGTGGTAGTTTGTGTTTACCCAACCTCACCGATAAGAGGACTGGGGCGGGGAGGGAGGGAGAGTGATTTTTATTTCTTTTTTAGTGACCTTTTTGGAGACCCATTGGGTGGTGCTGGGGATTTCTACCACAACCTAAGCTTGGCAGATTCCATTTTGGGATAGAAGTAGTCCTTGACTTATGACCACAATTGAGCCAAAGTTTCCATTGCTAAGGAGACATTTGTTAAGTGAGTTTTGCCCCATTTTATGACCTTTCTTGCCATAGTTGTTAAGTGAATCACTCAGTAGTTAATTTAGTAACACAGTTGTTAACTGATACTGGTTTCCCTATTGGCTTTCATCAGAAGGTCGCAAAAGGTGATCACAGGAGCCCAGGACATTGCAACCGTCATAAATATGAGTCAGTTGCCAAGTGTCTCAATTCTGATCAGGTGGTCATGTGGATGTGGCAATGGTTGTGTGAAAAATGGTCATGTCACTTTTTTTCAATGCCATTATTTACTTTGAACAGTCACAACAGAAGTGTTGTAAGTCGAGGACTACCTGTACTGTGAACTCGCTAATAGTTAATCCACCCGAGAGCATTCATTTTATCAACCCAACTGAAGAATGTGTATTTGTGATACAAGGGCAGTGAATCATAATATACAGTTCTCTCATATGCCTCTTCTCCACAGTAGTTTCATACCTGCTTAGCTATTAAAAGCTCTGGTAGAAAGCAAAATTGTTCGTTGCTTGCTGCTTTATGCTCAAGTGCCATCTAAAGTAAGGGAAAGCATTTTTTAAGCATTTAAACAATTGTTTACTTCTTTCGAAATGGAGGAGGTATGCTTCTGCATATTGCTCTTAACTGGAAGAGGGGACAAAAGCCCTCTCAAATCCTCAAGACATTTTGCCATCCTCTGCGCCTCATTATCATGAAAATGTCTCTCAGCTAAAATTCAGGTTGGAGTGATTTCCCGACAATTGGATTCTGATGTTTTCAGAACATATTTCAGATGGATCCCCTAGTGCGGTTAAAACAATTGATTTCTTTGTACTTAAGGTGGCTGACACAATCAGCACAGAATGAATTGGATGATGATACCTGAAGGAGAAACAATGGGCTATAGCATTTCACATTCTCCACACTCTCTGATCTTTAAAAAAAAGAGAGAGAGAGAGCAGTGTTTTTCCACCTTGGCAACTTTTTAAGATGTGTCACTTATGCTGGCTGTGGAATTCTGGGTCTTAAAGTCCACACTTCTTAAAGTTGCCAAGGTTGGGAAACACTACAATAGAGTCAACTTTAAATAAGCTTTTTTTCTAATGGGTAGGTTTTTTTTTTTATCAGCAGGAACTTTGATACATGACAAAGCGATCAAAAAGTCAACTGCTTATCATCTGATACTCACTTTACCATCACTTCATTCTGCTGTTATGTGCAGACACTGATGAATGAATATTAAACTTCTGTTGCTGGGAGGGATAAATGTAGTGCCATACTATTACTGCTGGGATGGGCAGTAAAACTTCATGGCATAAATGGAACTATCGCTATCAAGTAATTGCCTGCAAATAGGAAATTAGAAAAGGAAAATATCTTATGGATAATTCATCGTACATTGAATGGTTATAAGATAGTATGAAGTGGAATACAGATAAACTACTGTCTTCTTTCTATAGTCATTTACAGCTTTCTTCCACTTGTACATAACTATGGCATAAATATACCCTTGCAACATGTTCTTGTTGCCATAGAGCCTCCAACTTGTCCCCAGCCCATGCGAGGGACATACGTAAACTCTCCTTAGCTGTATTGTTACTAACATTGTGTTTTCCTCCCTTATTCCTACACCATCAAAAATGTATGAAATATGTTAGGCTTTGTGCCCTATTGCCTTAGTGGAATGGCAAATGACTGACAGTGACATGAAACAAAAGTGGTACAGGCAGAACAGAGATCAATAACGGTGGCAGCAAATGTCATGCCTGTGTTGTTCTCCACTGGCTCAAGAATTAATCGTTTCAAATAGCAGTTGGCAAAAAGTCCTTGGATTCTGTTCTTAGGCATTTATCCATTTATTTCAGAAATCCTCAAAGTATTACATGTTTTACACCAGTTTGAAATGGTTCCAGGTGAAACTTTCATCATGCAGTTATCATGTTTCATACACGTATTTCTAACTATCCCACAGCTCTTCCATCCTCCCCCATCTCCAAAAATCTGCCAAAGAAAAAAAAATCAGAATAGCTACACTGTTTTTTGATTGACATTGTCAAGACTTACATTGCAATTCAAGGTGCACGACTTCTGATTGTCTTTAATATCTCAACTTCTTATCTTGCAGAAATTAAAAAATTACGTCTGATGGATGGAGGAAGCAACTGTTCAGGCAGAGTCGAGTTGGAAGTCATGGGTATCTGGGGCACAGTATGTGGTGACAAATGGGACCTGGCTGATGCTGAAGTTGTGTGTCAGCAACTTGGTTGTGGTTCAGCCGTTGGGGCTCTCAGTGGCTCTCATTTCCAAAATGGGACAAGACCCATCCATATGAATGAAGTGAAATGCTTGGGGAACGAATTGTATCTATGGGACTGTCTATCCAAGAAGAGCCATAATTGTGGACACAAAAAAGATGCCGGTGTGATTTGTTTAGGTTTGTGAATGGAACTTAACTAAATTTCTGTTGTTTGTGTTCATGTTTAATTAATGTTCATTGGGGTTGAGGCCTAGATATGGGACCCAGATAGCACCGATAGCTTATGTTGGTGACCTATGGCAGGACAGGATAGGAGAAGTGTAACCCTCCCCACCCTCTGTGCAACATCCAATGCCATAGGTCATAGTATCCCTTTGGATTGCCTATGGGGGGATAAGTGTGGGGGGGACCACGGTTGGGATTCTACCGGTTCAGCCCAGTTCTATAGAATCGGTAGCTCTGAAGAGCAGCTGACACCGAACAGTTCTCACTGAAGGTCTTTTCTTCGGTTGGGCTCTAAGGCTGTCCTTTATTTTTACCTTAGTTGTGCAGCACAGCTGAGTGCCACGTGTCAGCAGGAGATGGTGATTGCTTGCAGGAGATGTTTTTTTGCAAGTACTGCACATGCACATGCAGTGCGCTCTCACTGAACTGGTTGTTAGGCTGGTAGGATCTCACCCCTGGGGGGGACACTGTTATACATGGATTCTTTTCTTCCCTGAGCATACTTGCACTCATGCTGTGGTTCTCAACCATTTCTTCACCACAGACCCCCTTTAAATACCTTTTACAGCCAAGGACCACAAAGACTTAACTCAAAATTTAAATCATAATGTTTCTTCAAGCCTTTCTGGCCCCTAAGGGTCCATAGGCCACAGGCTGAGAACCACTGCACTCGTGGATGGATGAGAGTGAAATGTAGAGGCTCTGTATTGTAGGTTCCTGAGGACTCTACCTTCATCTCCAAATTATTTAACAACTACATGAAAATGATATGGAAGACCATCCCTTGGCATTGAATGTGGTACCATCAATATATAGGTGACACTCTGGAGGCTTTTAGTATCTGGATGGCATGAATCAAACTCAGATTTAATCCCCAAGACACTACTGATTTGGAAGCCATCTTATAATGTAAATACTTTGTCTTTAGTTTGGGGCAGAATTGTGCTCCTATGCAGAGTTAGTTCCCAGTCATGGCTCCCCTCTTTAAGGGCAAATGAAGGCCATGTTCAGGTGGGCTTGTACACAGCTGTGCCTTATGCATAAGTTGGGATATTTTCTGAATCAAGAGGCTCTATTGTTAGTGATGTCCTTATCACTTCATGTTTGGATAACTGCAGTTCATTACACATGAAATCGCCCTTGAAGATCATCTAGACACTTTAGCTGGCCCAAATGCATCAACCCAGGTTATAACCAGTTTGACTTATTGCATCTACATAATAGCTTTACAGGAGCTGCCCTAATTATCAACATGCTATTGGCTACAATTTAAGATGCTAGCTATCATTTTTTTCCCCTAAATTTTATTTGAGTTTTCACAAAAAAACAAAAAACAAATAAAACATCTTTTTTAAAAGTAGCATAATCCCGGGTTACATTTCTTCGTACAGACACAAATTCAATTTCATGCTCATTTTTTATGTTCTATTCCATATCTTATTACTGTTTTACATTTTCTGCATATCTTCTCCCCTCTTTTAATTTTCTCAATTTTATTTTAATTATCTCATCTCAATTCAAATCATTATATTTATATTTTTGTCTGTCCTGTTTCAATTATCTATTATCTTTTCTCATTAAACAAAGTTTCTCCTGTAGTTACTGATTGGAGTACGACACCTTTATATCTTTTAAGTTTATCCATTTAACTCTTATTTAGGCTTGAATTTATACCCTAAAATTATAACATTCAATATAATACATAACTTCCATTCGGATTCTGCTTGGTACATTCTTAAAATACACACTATATTCTTTTAAAAATTTTTTTTATAAATATATGTAATTAAAACAACACATTCCATTTCAATTCAATTCTATCATTAATGTTAATATTCATTAAAATCTTAACTTATTTAACATTACTTTTCAATTAAATATCATACTTCTATGGGAATAATTATAAGCTTTCCATAATTAATAAATCCCCCCCTTCACTTATATTTTATAAAACATTAACTAATTAAAATGTTCCCGTTCCTTCCTAATTCAATTTTCTCATTTATTTTATTTCACTTATTTTATTAACAAACATTTCACTAAATTAGACTAACCATTTTATCCCTCATTTTAATCATACATTGTTTCCAATTTTCTAAAGTTATTTCTATTACTAATATAACAATACAATCTTATGTACCTTTACAGAATCCCTTTTTCAGTTAAAATTTCACCCATTATCTCTAAATAGGTCCTGTTTCTCTGTATCTTGTTCCGGTCCTTTGTAACTTCTTTTCCTTTCCTTCTTCCCTCTCTTCTTCTCTCTCCCCTTTTTACCTCCTTGTCTCTCTACCTCTATTTGTCTCTTCTGTATTCCCCTTTTCTGTTGCTTTCCAGTATTATACTTATTTTTCGAATTATTTTTCTTTTCTTTGGTTGTTTTTTTAAGTCTTAAATTCTCCATTCTCTTTCCCCCCCTTTCCTTTTTCTTCCCCACATAGAATTACTTGTTCATTAAAGATGGCTTTTTCTTTGTCCCAGTCTTCTTGTTTTACAGACGTTTCTTGTTGTTTCTCATAGTTCCAAATCTCCATTTCTAAGAATTGAAAAATGAAGCCAAAAGAACCTCTCCCTTCTTGTGCATCTTTTTTATACTTTTTAAATTCCATTTTCAATTCATCCAGAAGTGGTACCATGGTATAAATTTTTAAACAACCACCCAATTAATTTTAGTCATTCAAATGCAATAACCAAGAATCCAAAGATCACCAATTAATCCAAATACACGCAAGCTGTTTCTTTTTGCTCTTTTTTTCACTTTCTCTTCCTGGGGTTCTACTGTTTAGTTGCAGAGTTTCAGTTAAAATGTATCTTTTAGAAGTCTTGTTGAAGTTTTACTGTAGATTCTTTTTAATTCCAGGCAGTCTCCTCCCTCTTTCCAGATCCTGCCCTTATTATTCTTTTTCTCTCCCTTCCTACTTATGAAAAAAAAAATTAGTGTCCAGAAATCTTTATTATCCCTTTGACATTTTATTTTATTTTCAGCTTAATTGCCTGTTGATGTCAAAGCGGATTTTTCCGATTTCTTATTTAAGTCTCTTAGTTGTCAGTATAAGGAAAGGGAGAGAAGAAAAAAAAAACAAATCTTTCCCTTTTCAATTTCCTTCGCTGCTTCCGACTCTTCTTTTGGAGCGATGTTATTTTTTTTGTAAATTTAGATTCCAGGGTACCTTAGTTGTTACTTTTGCCATTTAACCCGGTCAGTCAAAACTTTCACTTCTTATCTTCCTCCTGCACATTCTTTTCTGGTCGAGTTCTTCTTTGAGGTGGCCATTTCTGACCACCGCTGCAACCGCCTTCGGGAAAGGAAGTAATGGCCAGCTGAGGAGGAGAGATGCGGCTCTCCTCAACCCTGCTGGCAGTTTCCCCCCTCTTCACCACCCTTACGGGGTGGCTAAACCCCGAAACCAGCCGGCTCTGGGCGCTCCAGCGGCGAGCCCAGACCGAAACCACGCATGATCGTGGATTTCTGTCTGTCGCCGAAGGAACTCAAACCGGAAGCCCCACTGCTAGCTATCATTTTTAAAGCCTTTCATGGATCAGAATCTGTTTATTTGTGAGACTGCATGCATTATACAGAATCTGCCTGTCTCATGAATTGCAAAAGGGAGGATGTAGGTTCCTAAGCCAAGGTAAATCCAGGACTATCCCTGCACTACTTTATCAATAAGCCACCATGTACTGATGTCACCTTAGCCCATAGCTAAAATCACTTTGTCTTAAGATACAAAGGTCTCACTCTCAATAGAGATGGGTCCTCAAAGGAGCCTCACACTTACTTCTTCAAAGTTTTAAATATTGTAGAAGGCCTGAAGAGGAATGGTAGTGGTTTTGAATTAAATGTGAGTGAAGCTCTATGGAGAGTCAAAAGGATGCTTTGCTGGAAACAGAGGAGATTCTTTGCCATGACAACCAGGAGATAAATATTGATATCAATTCCTCACTAAAGCATCTTCAGAAAATAGGAGATAATAATAATAATAGGAGAAGGTGAGATTATGGTATCATTTAGTGTTACAGCACTCTACATCCATAGACCCAGAACTAGCAAAAAAAAAAATCCATGGCAGCAATACCACACAATGTATCCAATCTAACTAAATATACTAAGATTGAAAAACTCAGAATCATGGATCTCATCAACTTTTGACTCACTAGCTATTTTCAATTTGATAGACAACTACAGCAATAAATTAGTGAGTCACCCTTGGGCTCACACCCTCAGGACTCATAGCAGACAGGGTAATGTAGAATTTAGAAACTATAGCATTCCCACACATACAGCCCAAAGTATGGATCCAGTATGTAGATGATCCAGTATGTAGATGGATCCTGTCAAACAGACAACAAATGGTCAAAATCGGGAACGCCCTATCAAATCCAGTACCTGTCAATAGTGGTGTTCCCCAAGGCAGTGTTCTAGGACCAACTCTCTTCATAATCTACATAAACGACCTTTGTGATCATATCAAGAGCAATTGCGTTCTCTTCGCTGATGATGTAAAGCTGTTCAATACCACAGACAATACTACTACCCTTCAAAAAGACCTAGACTATGTATCTGAATGGTCTAACATATGGCAACTTCAAATCTCAACAAATAAATGCTCTGTCTTACATATTGGTAAAAAAAATCAGAAAATAAAATACAAACTGAATAGTCAAGATCTTGTTGACGACCCAAGCTCTGTAAAGGACCTGGGAATACTCACCTCTAATGATCTAAGTGCTAGAGCCCACTGCAACAACATAGCCAAAAAGGCATTAAGAGTTGTTAACCTAATCCTACGTTGCTTTTTCTCTGGTAATATCTCACTACTAACCAGAGCATATAAAACATTTGCTAGACCAATACTCGAATACAGTTCATCAGTCTGGAATCCTTATTACGTATGTGATATTAGCACAATTGAGAAAGTCCAGAAGTATTTCACAAGAAGAGTTCTCCACTCTTCTACTCGTTGTAGAATACCTTATGCCACCAGACTCGAAATTCTAAAACTAGAAAACCTTGAATTACGCCGTCTTCGGTCCGACTTAAGCATGGTATATAAAATCATACATTGCAATGTCCTACCTGTCAATGAATACTTCAGCTTTAACCATAACAACACAAGAGCACACAACAGATACAAACTCAAAGTAAACCGCACCAAACTTGATTGCAGGAAATACGACTTCAGCAATAGAGTGGTCAATGTCTGGAATACTCTACCCGACTCTGTAGTCTCTTCCCCAAACCCCAAAAACTTTAACCTTAGACTGTCTACTATTGACCTCACCCCTTTCCTAAGAGGTCTGTAGGGGGCGTGCATAAGCGCACCATCGTGCCTACCGTCCCTGTCCTATTGTTTCTCTTATTCTTTTATTTTTCTTATATGTACCCATTTCATATATTAACAACTATGTATACACTTGTACTTATTATCTTGTAAACAATTGACAAATCAAATAAATCAAATAAATAAATAAATAAATGACACCTTTGTTGTAATAAAAAAAGGAACGATTAGAGAAGACACATAAAACAATCAGCGTGGTCTTCAAAGGATTAAATTCACAAGGGAAGAAGAAAACAACACATTCCCTTCCTGGATGTCCTCATCAGCACAGGAAATGGCAGCAAATTAGAAACAGATCTCTATCAAAAATTTACCCACACTAACCAAGTGCTTCACTATCAAAGTAACAATGCAACCTCCTGCAAGAGGAGCTGTGTAAGAACTTTATTCAAATGAACACAAATGCACTGGAGCAACCCAGACCACCAGCAAAAGGAAACAGATCATCACTACAACACCTTCCAACAAAATGGATACCCACACAACTTTATCAAAAAATGCCTGGCCACTCAACCCATTTCAACACAGTCAATGCAAGCTATAAAAAGGCTAACATTGTCATATGTCAAAAAATCTCAGGAACAAGTAACTAAAGCCTCCAAAATATCTTAAGTAAATCAAAAGTTCCAGTAGCCCAAGAATAAAAAACAGGAGTCATCTATAATGAAGAGTCAAAGGACAAACAGACATTAAATAAGACAGGCAGGCAAAAGACTAGCAGATTGTGTCCATGAACACCAACTAGCAGTCAGAAGATTATTTAAATTAGATTTATAGCTACTTTAATTAAAAATTAGAGGAAGATTTGTGTCAGGTTTAATATGAATTATTACAAAATGGTTTTGTGAATTTGTTTTATTCATTGGGGAAAAATAGTGGATTGTCCAATGAAGAAAAATCCTCATTTTCTGAAGTAGTGCTGAATACATTTTATTATCTGGAAGTTTCCACTAATGCTTAGGCAAAATCTTCAATTTCCTTTGTAATGCTTTTAATCTTGCTTTCTAAAACAATAGAAGATACATCTGATCTGCCCTCTGCTTAATTTAACACTTCAGATTTCAAATTAGCTTTTGTATTGGGGTTTTTATTTTTATAAGCCACCCAAAGTCAGTAGGAACAAGTTCAGTGGCCATATAAATTTTCTAAATAAATAAATACTTAGACTATCATGTCTAGATCATGTCTTCTTTCAGTATACTCTTCTAAAGACTAAAAATGTATTAGTCATTGGGCCATAACTTGTAAATCTCAGTTTCCAGATTCTTCAAATCCTTATTAAAATGTAACATTAAAACTGGACTTGGTGATATGCCTTTAGCCTGACCAGTGTAGAATAGAAGTAAATAATTAGTTCTTAAGACCTTGTACACTGTGCTTCTTTTAACACAGCCAAATACCACATTACCATCTTTGTCTAGAGCAAAAGATGGTACTCCCTCCCCTCAGAGTAAAATTGCTTCTGAAGCCATAACTGCCTTATTTTATTAACTTTGACTTTAAACCTGTTTCTCTCCATCAAGGCCAAAATAGCCTCCAGACACAGGTCAAGACTTTTATTGCATCACCCACACATTCTGAAGTACAAATGTAACACTGAGTATCATCTGCATAATGATGATATCTATGAGGTAAATCATGACAGAAAAAAAGACTCCATGAATGACTGGAACTAGACTTTATTGAGATAAGTTATAGCAACAGAATCTTGAAACCCTGACTGAGTTTTTCTCTCCCTCCCTTTTATACTAGTGAATTAGTGAGTAGTCAGTCTCAGTTTCTTTCTCACACTTTCTCTGTTTCTCAGGCAACATGTTGTTGCAACCATCATCTCAGCTTAGTTTCTCCAAGATCATCTCTATGGTCTCTAAATACGTGAACAAATTTTCCAGTGTTTTTATGTTACATAAGATAGGAGAGAGCCTGTGGCATCTCATTACTAGCCCATTACAAGGTAAACCAGGGCATGAAAGTAACACCACAGGAAGACTAGAACTGTGCATTATCAATATAGGCTATAGTAACAAAATCTTGAGAGTCTGATTGTGTTTTTTCTCCCCTTCCGCTTATACTCTAGTGAATCAGGGAGTTTTAAGCCTCTTCTCAATACTCTCTCCCTTCCCAGAACATAAAGAATGCTTCTGTTTGTTTGTTTTTTTGTTTAGTGATGGCTGCTGAATATTTGCTTCAAGGTCATCTCTCCAGGTCTCTACACCCATATAGAAGAGCTCTACAGCTTATCTAGTCCCCCCCACCTCAACTGACCATACAGAGGAATACTATAGGGTCACTCTCCCCCTTTTAAAACATCATCATCAGTAACCTACAAGAGTAGCAATGCGGGTTCAGTCCCCAACTTTCCATGCTCAGGTTTTAACCCTGACTGAAAAGGACTGTGTTCAACTTGTGAGCCACAAGGAAAATTAAATTCTTTTTACATTTATCGTATCCTAGTTGGCCTTATAGTTCTGATATTTTACTATTCAAGTTGTTAGGACTTTACATTTCTCTCTTGAATTTCATCTGGATAGCTTTGGGTCCAGGGTTCCATTTGTCAGAACTGTTTTGAATTCTGCCCTTGATTCTGCATTTTGTACTGTTAGTCACTTAGTTCTGTGTCATCTGCAAATTTGATAAATGTCCCCAGGTTGCTTTGTTTAAAGTCCAAATATAACACAAAACCTAAGACAGATCGTTGGCATTCTACTTGTGTTGATAGAAGCTGATATTTATTGAGTGATACAAGCTGAGCCATGTATTGAGTTTTTGGGGATAATGGCAATTCAATCAACCGTGTCTCTTGCTAACAATAATATTGTCCATCCTGCACTTAAGGTATCTTTTCACACAATACATGCATTGTTCTGTGCATTAGTTTTGTGTCCCTGTGGCATCATTCCTGTTCAGTCGCTGAGCTGATTAGTGCTGAGTATTAGCATTAGTGTTGAGTATTTGAAATCTGAATGTCTTTGAAAGGAGGGTCCCCAGCCAGGAATCTGATTTGCTTTTTTTGGCCACATTACAGCTCTGTAGAACTTATATAGACCAACCTTTCCTTGCTTACAGAGCTACATCCACACCCCACTACTTGGCACTTAGGCTGCAGCCATGCTAGCAGGTCTTTCAAGAGGAAAGGTGGCTTGACAGTTCTTAAGCCTTCAGGGGAGCTGCCAGGATTTTTTGACAGACAGTCAGACAAATGAAATGTGAAGTAATAGGGGTGTAGGAGTATAGGCAAATGATTTTCTTTACCTATAATGTAAAATGGGGTGGGTTTTTTTTTGTTTTTTTTTGGCCACTGCAGGACCAGTGAGTATCCTATCCATGCACATACTTGCTCTTTGTTTCCACGCTTCAGGTCAGCAGAATTAAAGACACAGGGAAACAGTGGGTGTATGGCTGTGCTCTTATAAACCTGAAAAGGAAAGGAAAAGAGAAGAACAAAAAAGCAGGGAAGATTAATAGAAGTAGATAGGTAAAATAAAGGCAAATGGCAAGGATTAAATTAAAAGACAGAGGCATCAATGCCACCTCTTCTGTCTGCTTATATATCAGTGCTGCATGATGGTAATTATGTTGTTTTTTTTTTTTTTGCTACAGCATATAATTCATACAATGAGGCTGTTTGGTTTTTCTGGCAAGGGCACTTGAGAGGCCACTTGGCAACTGTCTTGCCATCACCATCTGCAAATGTCCTAATTTGCAAATGTGTGACAGGTTAGCCAAAGTAGCTTGTTTGGAAAGTGAGAAACCTGCTATCATATTAGCTATTGTGGTCTGTAGGAGGTTTCAGCTGGCTTTGATTGGAAAGATTGTTTTTGCTCCAACTCTCTGATGTGTTTCATTCCTTTATTGATTCTGGTCTATTGATCCATACAACAATGTTCATGGTGCAAAACCCATACATGCTCTGTGATTCTGAGGCTCTGGAGTTAAGGTTTGCTTTCCCCAGGAGAATTCTGTTTCTTCTTGAAGCACACAATTATTTTAGAATATATAGTCTGGGAAAGCTAAGATTCAGCATATCTTTATTTGTCTAAATTTGAAACTGGTTGGTGAAGATGATGGAACTTGTGGAGACTGCCAAATTAATTTCTTTGATTATAGAGAGTAAACTGTGTCTACATTTATGGTTGACTGTAAACCCCTTATAGACTTTTTGAATAAAATTGAAAAAAATTCACTTATGATTTGTGGTTGTGATTAAAAAACAAACCTGAATAATAAAAAAGAGTGAACTTTCTTTTGTAATCAAGGCATAAGAGATAACTATGTAATTCGTACTTATATTCGCTGCAAAGGAAATCAGAAAATTCTTTCTATTTCTTTCTATTCTTTCTTTCTGCATTTTGACTTTTTTCCACTTGTCTGCCTTTACCTCTTATTAGTTTGTGTTAGTTTTTATGCTCATTGTAAAAAATTCAATAAAAATCTGACACTGATTCACTTCTTCAGTGTTCATTGGTTTTATTTTTTATTTTTTTGTATCATTTTATAATTTCAGGCTCACTGGCTATCCAGACGCCTACAGATACAACAGAAAGAGAAACTTTGACTTCAGTCTCCCATTTACCCAGTATAAGTAAGTAGAATCTCTTTAAAGTACTTCAACTGCACACAGTGCAGTTGCTTAAATAAAGTCATTGTAGATTGCCTGCTTATGAAGAGCTTACTACATGCAAATTCACTTTGAGCAGTGTTTTTTCTTTCTTTCTCAACTATATCTTTTATCTTAGTCCCAATTCATCTTAGTGGTATAAAAGCCAGAAGCAAAATTCCAAACTGACTGACATTTGGTACTAGATTGAATCGGTGCTTCATAAGGTTTGCATTAGAATGATCCCTAGAATCATAAATGCATTTCTACAATATACAGGTTGTCCTCGACTTTCAACAGTTCATTTAGTGACCATTCAAAGTTACAACAGCACTGAAAAAGGTGACTTATGACTGTTTGTCACACAACCACTGCAGCATCCTCATGGTCATGTGATGAAAATTCAGATGCTTAGCATCTAAATTCATCTTTATGAAGGTTGCAGGGTCCCAGGGTCATGGGATCAGCTTTGGCAATCTCCTGACAAGCAAAGTCAATAGGGGAATCCAGATTCTCTTAACAACCATATTACTAACTTAACAAATACAGTGATTCGCTTAATGATTGTGGCAAGAAAATTCGTAAAATGGGGCAAAACTCACTTAACAAATGTTTCACTTAGGAACATAAATTTTAGGCTCGGTTATGGTCATAACTTGAGGACTACCTGTATTCATTTAATTGATCTGAAGGTTAAACAAGAAATAAATATAATATTAATAATTAACATTATTCAATAATCAATAATTATAACTAAAATGTTGACCTCCCACTCTATCTGTGCAAATCTAATTGTGACCCTGGCTGCCACTAAATGAGCAGCATTGAATATAAGGGTCCTGGAAAGGGAAGGGACAACTGAAAAATATGTTCCGCCCAAGGAAGAAATAAATAAATATGGGGAAAAAAGGAAAGGGAAAAAAGAGAAGAGCTCAATCTGGAGCTTCAATACTGGGGAAAGCTAAAATTTGGTTTGTTTATTATCTGTAAAATGTATTGGCCACTCATCTTACCCAGGGTAACTCTGGGTGGCTTACAATCATATATCTGATTGTATAGTTCATATCCTGATATGAAGGCAGCAGCTGAATATCTGGCTAAAGGTATTTAGCAATATATTAATGCAATAAGTGAGAAATTGTTCAACCTATGTTCTTTTTAGTGATACTTTTTCTACCAGATAGTTTTCATTAATCCATGTCCAAACAAGCATAATGTTAGATAAAAATAAAAATGAACAATTTTTGAGGAACAAAAAGCAAACTTACAGTATGTTTTTTATATTGCCCAACAGTGTAGGAGAACTTGACCTTTTGATCTTGTGTTATCCTCCCAAGTAGTGTTTCAGTTGTAATAGACACCTTTCTAAACCAAGATAAACTGAGAAATGAGTGGGGTAAACAACTTGTGTCTCTTTGGCTGCTGTGGTTTGGCTTGCCTGTTTCCAGCTGTTGAAAGTGTTTTCAGCATGGTTTGCAGGCAAAGCCTATGATGGCCAATGCATGGGAACAACTTCATATAAATGCTACTGTTTAACATACTTGCATCAGATATCAGAATGCAGATGTGTCACGGGTGCATATGATTTCATTGTGTGTCTACCATGTTAGTCTCATCATGGCTTTCTGTGGGTGCTACAGGTAGAAATACTTGTATTGTTCTATTGTGAAATTGTCTGGTCTTATTCATGGGGTCTTTCAGGACATCCTGATAAAATCAATGTTCTTTAATAATCCTCGGGTTTTTCTATAGTGTTCCACATTATTTTTCAGATAAAAGCTACTGCTACTTTTTGACTAGACTTCTGTCAAAGCATCTCCCTTACTCAACCCCATTCTTAGTCTATGTCTTCAAGGTGATGTTGGTACTTACAGATCAGGATTGTGTGCTTAGCTGGGTATGTTATTATAATAAAAGCAGTACCATAACATTTTATGGGCATCTTTTTTGACACTGTACTAGAGATCTCTTCTGAATTTTCTGTTCCCTGGATTCTCATTTAATCTGATGTTACAGAAATTGTTTTTCAGGTTTTCTTTTTAAATAAAGAAAATATTTGGAGAAATTCTCATGAGTGAAAAGTAAGAGTCGTATATTTTAGATATGAGATGAAAGGGAGTAATCATTTTATTATATTAAATAGAAAATAGAGTAAAAGAGATCTGGTTTGCTCTAGTGATTAAGGCACCAGGCTAGAAAACGAGAGACCATGAGTTCAAGTCCCACCTTAACCATGAAAGCCAGCTGGGTGATCTTCCGCCGGTCACTCTCTTTCAGCCCAATTCACCTCACAGGGTTGCTGTGAAAAAAAAACAGGAGAAGAAAAATGTGTTGCATATGTTTGCTGCCTTAAATCATTTGTAAAAATAATAAAGGTCAGGTACAAAGAAACAAACAAAAATATATACCCTGTCTCTTTTCCAAAACTTCAAGGCTGATTACCTACAGATTCTGCCCTCATTTTTGTCTGCAGTAAAATCACCCTATGCAGTTGGTTTTGCAGGCAGTGGATGGCTCAGCTTCCCCATATATTTCCCAGAAAGTTTCCATAGCTAAGAGTGGACTTAAATTTTGCTTCCTCAGTCTCAATTCTGACACCTGGTAGTCCCTATCTTCCCATGCTCCAGCTAACTTGCAAAGGAAAATATATGAGAGTATTCCCACTGACTATTTTCAGATCAGGACAGCTCTGATAGAGAAGGTTTGCAATGAAAGACACAATCACCTCAGCATCCTTGGATAACTTGCAAGCTCCAAAATATCACCTAAAGGCCTTTTAAATACCTTTTAAAGCATCCTGGGATTGAATTAGAAAAATAAAAACTTATTTTTGGAAGAGAGGTTTGGACTTTCCCCCACATATATACAGTAGGTAGTCCTCGACTTACAAAAAATCATTTAGTGACCATTCGAAGTTACAACAGCACTGAAAAAAGTGACTTATGACCACTTATCACACTTATGATGGCTGCAGCATCCCCATGGTCATGTGATTTATGTCCTTCTGACAAGCAAAGTCAACGGGGAAGCCAGATTCACTTAACAACTATATTACAAAAGGGACTTCCGGTTTGCAAGGTTTTGGCGGCGGCAGGGATTCGCAATATTGCGCGATCCCTGCTGCGTTCGCCGCCAAGGTTCCCCCGATCCGTTTGGATCTGGGGGATATAGCTGCCCCATAGAGGCAGCTGAAGACAGGGGGGATCCGGACAGGGGCTTGGGGGTGTCGCAGACCCCCTCCCCAGCCGGCAAAACCCCCTTCTCCCAAGGCGGAGGAACGGCGGTCAGCAATGGCCGCCACGAAGAAATCTGCAGCCGGACAAGCAGGTGCAGGAGGGAGAAAGTTGGAAGAAATATGAAAGCTGCTTTCAACCGGGACAAGGCAAGAGAAAGTGACCTGGAATCTTGAAGGCTGCTAAGTATACATTGTTTCTAGTGAGAGTTACAAGCTGCGAATATCCTAAAAGGGAAAGTTTTTGTTTTTTTTTCGTTTCACTCTCCTTCCTAACGTGGCAGCGGATGGGAAAAATCTTTTTGGCTGTGAGTGGGAAGGGAAAGGAAAAAAAAAATTGGAGCAAAATTTGAAAATAAGGAGAAGATTGCCTAGAACTTTAAAGAGTTACTAAACATCAATAAGGCTTCTAAAAGATATATTTTAAAGGGAACTTTGTGATTAAACTTTAACCCCAGAAAGAGAAAGTGAAGAAGGAGAAGGTATTTAAAAGAAACAGCTTGTTTGGATTGTTTGGTGATTTTGGAACTTTTGAGAATTATTTCTGATTAAAAGCACTTGGGTGGTTGTTTGGAAAAACTTTTTCTCTACACAATGGCATCACTTGTGGATGGACTGAAACTTGTATATCAAAAATATGAAAAAGAAAAACAAGAAGGGAAAGATGTCCTTGGCACTCTTTTTCAATTTTTAGAAATGGCGGTTTATACTTATGTAAAGCTGAATGAGCAACAGGATGGTGGGGACAAAGAAGAAGCCATCTTTGATGAACAAATAACTTTGGTCGGAGAAGGGAAAAAGAAAGAGAAAAAGGAAAAGAAGACTTTAAGATCTGGAAAAACAACCCAAAAAGAGAAGAATAAGGTGAAAAGGGGACATTATGTTAGGAAACAACAGAAAGAGGGAAAGCAGAATAAAAGGGAGGTGGAGAGACAAGGGGGTAAAGAGGACAAGGAGAAGAAGAAGCAAGGGAGAAAGGAAGGGATGAGAAGCCTTAATGGTGGGGAGCAAGATGTGAAGAAGCAAAAGTTTTTTTAGAGATAATGGATAAATTTTATTGAAAAAGGGATTTAGAAAGGTACATAAGATTGCATTTTTATATTTGTATTTAGAAATAACCATAGAAAATTGGAAATAATATGTAATTTAAAATGTGATAAAATATTTAGTATAACCTAGTGAAATTTTTGTTAAGAAAAAGGGAGTACTGTAATGAAATATGATTTAAGATATGGGATGTGGGGTGGGGGGGAAATAAAGCATAAGTGTTCCCACAAAGGCATGATATTTAATTGAAATGAGTAAAATGTTTAAGATATAAATGATTGTTAATATTAATGATTAGACTATGTTATCCTAGTGAAACTTTTTGTGAAATGAGAGATTTGAAGTAGAAGAAGGAGGAACATTGTAATGAAATAATGAGCTATAATATGTGATGTGGGGGGGGAATAACTGTGGAAAATAGGTGCTCCCATAAAAGTATGTGATTTAACTGAAAAGCAATGTGTTAAATGTTTAAGATATAAATGAATATCAATATTAATGAATAGATTTGTATTGGTTTTGATAATATAGTATAATTTTAGAATGTACCAGACAGAATCCCAATGAAAGTTATGTGTTTTATATTAAGTATTATAAAGATAGGGGAAAGAGATAAAGGCATCATACTCCATTTAGTGTACAGGAGAAGTTTTTTTTTCAAAGAAGAAAGATAAATGGATAGCTGGAAATATAACAGACAAAGAATAATAAATATTATGATTTGAATTGAGAGGAGATAAATAAAATAAAATTGAGAAAATTTAAAAGAGAGGAGAAGCTATATAGAAAATTGAAAATGTTAATTAGATATGAAATGGTATGTAAAATGAATATGAATTTGAATTTGTGTGTGTACCAAGAGTTTTAACCCGGGACCAAGCAACTTTCAGAAAAGAGATTTTTTTTTTTTTTAAACAAGTTTTATTGATTTTCAAAACACACAAGTCATCATTATCCATTACATGTTTAAACCTTTTTCCATTATAAATTTAACAAGTCAGATAAACTATAATTCTGTTTTAAACCATTTCCATATAAACATACAAAAACCTCTTATCCAATTTCCCTTTATTTCTCTTCACTCTTATTCAATTTTATTATTATTATTTCATCTACTTCTTTCTGACTTAGTTACCATTATTCTCATTCTATATTTCTACAAGGTTTTATTAATTTTCCCCCCAAAAAAACAACATAATCACACAACACACAAAACATAAAAAAGATCTTTTTGGAAAGTAACTTGGACCCAGGTATCTCTCTTTTCATGGACTTCAATTATATTCAGGCTCATCTTACATATCATTACTTATTTTATTTACCATTCTAAGTCTTCTATATTAACTTCTCCTCATATTTCACTCTTCTTGATTCTATCTTAATTAATCATCTTAATTTGAGTCATTATATTTATATCTTTTGTCCATTCTCTATTATACCTTTGTCTCATTCCTTTTAAAAAGAAAGAAATTTCTCCTGAAATCACTAATCAGAGTATGATGCCTTTCTATCTCCCCACTAAATTAATCAAATTAATCTTTAAACTACCCAATCCGATTTTGCTTGGTACATTCTAACTGAATAATACATCTAAAACAATTAAATACATAGTTAAGCAATAGATTTAAATATTAAAAACAAAATACTATAATGAAAGTTTTATAATAACATCAATACCATAATCTTAATAAACTCTTTAATTAAAGTTTAATATTCTAAATCTCCCCTCATATTATATTTTCAAACCAATCATTATTAACATTCCAACATTTTAATCTCTTATCAACTCTCAAGCCATTTAAATTTTCTATTTCTGATACGATACTACAATATCATCTTATGTACCTTGCAAAATCTTTTTGAAGAAATTATACTTATCCTTTATCCCTAAAAAAAATTTCTTTTTTCTCATTTAATTTCAAAACTTTGTAGCTTTTCTCCACCTTTTCCCTTTCTTTCTTCCCCCAACAAACCTTTCTAGCCCCCCTTCTTCTAGCCTCTGCCTTACTGGCTTCCCTTCTCTGTCGTATTCCTCTTCCCTTTTGTTTACCATCCTTATATTGATTTTGCACCTTGTTTTTCCCTTTCTTAAATGTTTTTTTAAATCTTAAGTCCTTTATTTCTCTTCTTTTTCCTCTTCCTTCCCTCTTGGTCGAGTTCTGAGATTTATTAAAGATGGCTTCCTCTCTTTGTTCTTCTTCTGCTGTCTTCATCTGTTGCAATGTTTGTTGATAATTAATAAGCGCCATTTCTAAAAAAAGGAAGGTTTCTTTCAAACCAGCTTTACCATTTTGTTTTGCTTGCTCATAATCTTTTCTCAGTTCCTCGATAGAAGAAGCCATTATAAATCTTTTCTTTTCTTTTCTCTTACAACAGCCAGAATATTCCAAAGGAAAAATAAGACAATCCCAAAGTTCTCAGTCAGTCCAAACCAAGACAGAGTTCCCAGAGATTTTTTATGTTTTTATGTTTTGTGTTTTTGTGTATTTATGTTTTGTATGTCTTTAAAAATTAATAAAATTTGCTCAAAAAACAAACAAACAACTATATTACAAATGTAACAACTGCAGTGATTCACTAAACAAATGTGGCAAGAAATGTGGCAACATAAATTCTGGATTCAGTTGTGGTTGTAAGTCAAAGACTACCTGCACACGGCTTCAGAAAGCAGCTTTCTTCTTCCATTTTCTCATTTCTATCAATGTTTCCATTTGCAGCTTTAACAACTCCTGAAGAACCGAAAGCAACATCACCAGATCGGAACCTGCGGATCGCCTGCATCATTCTGGGTTTTCTCCTTTTTCTGAGCATTGTGATTATTATCCTTCTGCTGAAAAGACAGAAGAAAAACGGTACTTTTCATGTCCTGGGGAATCACAAGTGCTGGGGGTGGCGGGGGGGAGAAGTGACTTAGAAGGAATATTTTGTTTATTCATTTGTTCGTTCGTCATATTTATATAGTTGCACATCTCACAAAATTTAATTCTGGATGTCTTACAATTAACAAAATATCTTATAGAACAGTAATCTAAAAATAAACCAAGTAAAAATATTAATATTATGATTAAAAAGCAAGGAGAGAACAACATATTAAAAGTTTCAGAACTATGGTGGGATGGGATTTTTAATGTGTCTTATTTAGAGGGCATTGCACTGGAGTAAACTGTGATCTGAAATATGAGACCGATTCTCTTTTTGCTGAAATGAAGTAATTGTGAAGGCTCCCTGCAAAGAATTCCTACAGCTAGCAAGCAACAGCATAAGCTCCGTGCTGTTATAGGTGTGCCATTTCTGAAAACCTCCATTAGGCTAGAACGGAAATTTCAATCTGCTGAAAGAATGTGCATATTTATATAGCTGCACATCTCACAAAATATAACTGATTAGCCAAGAGGCTGAGAGAGCCTTTCTACAGATCTACTTAATGCAGCCACTAGTTCTCAGGGTCCTTTATATTATCCTGTTTATGATACCTGCATGGTCGGATTTATTTGTATTGGAATATAGAGATAAAAGAAGTGGGTTTTTTTTAATGCAATACTGCTTAAGATTGTGCAACACTTTGAATTTAATTGCCAAAAGATGCATTAGAGCTTATGGGAGTGTGAATGCACCCAGGCAGACCACCTTAAAGCAGCCAAGTGACATAGCTCTAATATTCCAAGAAGGGCTGCGGCTTCTTCAACATGTTGCAAACAGTCAAGTGCTCCATTCCTGCTCTAAAGCTCCAGCTGGAAATCAAAGTCAAAGTGCTGTTTAGCTGTAATCACCTTCAACCTACTAGTGTCTGGCATTTTGTCATGTGCTTTTCAACTGAAGTAGGCAGATGCATAGCTAGTGAAGTAGCAAGTGGAATACATAGATCTGTGACAGATGTATATAACGAATAAGATCTTACTACAGACGTGTCCTCTGAAAGCAAGAAAACCTATGGGTAAAAGAAGAGATTGGGGGGCCTTTTCCCAGTGATCTTATATAGTGAGCTTTTGATTTGCAGATTGTGTTATTTCTTCTGCTCCAGTATCTGTCCCCGTCCTGATGAATCACACGGTGCAGAAGTTAACCACTGGAGGGGATATCTCCCTCAGCCTCCACAAAACAGAAGGTACTAAAAGCTCTTGCCTGCCTGAACCCGTTCTCTTCTTATCTTTACTATCTTTCTTCTCACTTTTTTCCTTCTGTTTGCTCCCGGACAATTAATTTTTTTCCAGCTCTGATCAATTAGGCTAGAATTTCATCAGACTTGGTTGTCCATAGTGGGCTGTAGGACACCAGCAGGCAAACTAGCCAACAAACAACTTTTGAGGTTCTTGGGGGAAAATCTGTCCTTTTAAGTTACCAGTAGTATTTGTCTGGGTAGAAATCTTCACTGTTCAGCTCTATCCCCAATTCTCAGCCAAATGCTGAAAACGTGCATGTTAAATTCAAAGAATGCTTAACAGTCCTTTCTGTTAGAGTACTTTATGCATGTTTGGGAATTTTTTTTTTGCATCAGATCAATTTTTATTTTAGTTATTAAATGTGTATGCTGCCCATCTCCCTTCACAACGTGCCTCTGGGTAGCTTGCACATTATAAAGCAAGTAAAAAATAATTAAAATATTAAAACATTAAAATTACACCGATTCAAATATTATTAAAATCAGTATTTGTTGTTTGTTTGAAGCATTGATATGGCTGCCTAACGTAGACAACATGATTCTGGAGACCAAATACAAAAACATAAGAATCAATAAATATAAAAGAACAAGGAACATTAAAAACTAACTAAAGCAAAAAATAGCAATTAAAAGTAAAATATATTAAAAACCCTTTTGATTGGGAACTCTGTTCATTCTGATCCAAAAACCCAGAAAAAGAGACATTGGTGAAAATGGGAGGTATACAGAAAGGTACATATTTAATCTTAAAGATACACCCTTTTAATCATCTATTTTCAATGCTGTATCCAAGGAGAAATTTGTATAAATAAAGGAAATACATTAGGAATAGATTCATGAATACAACCAAAACAACTGAGATCAAATATAAATTCAATGTCATGTCAAAAAGATTTTTACCCAACAGCAAATAAATTCATATAGGCAGGTTCTGTGAACTTTTCTTAATCAACCTCAATTACATAAATATTAACCCACAATTCCATTTGTTTATTTACAGGACTTATATGTTTACCTATCTCATACTGTGACTCTAGGAGGCTCACAACCATCTATAAAAACATGGCTAAACTGTTAAATGAATACTGTAGAGTTATATCATGCAGAATGAGATCCAGTTTAAGGCAATAGCCTAGAAACTGGGAGACTGTGAGTTTTAGTGCTGCCCTAGGCACAAAGCCAACTGGGTCTCTCTTTCAGCCCTAGGAAGCAGGCAAAAGCAAACCTCTTCTGAAATCTTGCCAAGAAAACTGCAGGGATTTGTCCAGGCACTCACCAGGAACCAACACTATCTCAGAGGCACACATGCACAGCTGTGCATACGTATACACATAATGTAGAATGTATTTGAGGATATTCTTGTGAGTACAGCATTAGTACATGGACAGGTAATGGCCAAAATAATCTGCTGAAATTACTAGTGGACAAAAAAAATGAACAAGAAATGTTCATGAAAATGTGTGTTTTGTATCCACTGAGTTTCACTTGGATTCAGTGGGATTAAATGTTAATATGCCACAAGTCTCCTTTTATTTCAACATATTAGCAGAGATAATATCACACTTAGATGACAAGCTGGTTGGTCAATTCCTATCATAATCAATGAACCAACATTTGACTGATCTAAAAAAGTGCACCTGGCATCTTCAGGAAAAATGCTAAGAAAGAAAAAAAACCAGGAGAGATAATACCTCTGGAATATCAAATGTATATTTGCGTTGCCCTGACACATCCGCCTATGACAGTGCATAATACTGAGGAAAGGAAAAAAGAAGCCTTGCCCTTTAAGGAATAGGCAAAGTTCTTTCCTTTTGTGGATTCAAATTTCCTGGCTGGGAGAAATGCAAAATGATTTGGTCAGCTGCGTTGAAAGTCAGAATCAGTTTATTAATAGGAAGGCAGGTAAAAAGAAATCTCACAGCGTTCCTAGGATTAATCTAATAAGTGGGTAAGAAAACCCCTTTCTTATACTTTTTCAGGTCCTTTGATTTGGAAGTGAAGTCTTTGATTTGTTTGTGTTGAATTCCTGTCTCTTTTCCTGGGATCTTGGTTTTATGGTCCTGATCCTTTGTAATTGCTTGTTTGCTATCATGGTTCCTTCCTGCCATGCCTTTTGGTTTGCTTTTCACAAGTTTTTTTTTTATAGCTTGCCATCTATTTGATTTCTCTGGGAAAGGATCTTAGCTAGTTTGTAGAGTTTTTTCTCTGTATCTCATGCCTGTAATTTTCTCCTTCCTTTGTTGTGAAAAGTAAGCTGGCTCCAGCTATTTTAATAGCCCTACTTGACAAAGGGTGGGGGCTGTTTTCCTAGAAGAGGGGGAATCGTAACTTCCAACAATACAATAATAAACAAAAAGTGTTAAATGACAACCCTTGATGTGAATTTAAACAGCAGCTGACAAAACAATAACAGTATATATAGCATATATACCATATATAGCATATATAGCATATATATATATATATTTGTTTTCTTAAGTTTTCGTGGGTATTTATATGTATGGTATTCAGCTTTGTTCGGGTATTTTCCCACGTCATTATAGTTGTGCAACATTTCAGCAGAATCTCATCTGCCATCATCAGGCTTCTGTATTGTGTTCGTCTGTGAGTCAGACTTTCACAGCCGTTTCTGTTTTAAATTTTGTGCTAGCCTATTGCTGTGTTAGAATGGTTTTTTCTTCATCCTGATTGGTTGGGAGTCTTGGTCTGTGTTTATTGGTCTTGGAGCTTGCTGTGTTCTGCTTGATTGGTGTTTCTAATATATTCTGTCTGTTTTGTAGCTTTTTTTTGTCTTGATTGGCTGGCAACATTGTGTTCCTGTATTGGAGGCTTTTAGTGTGGCTTGACTTTGAGTAAACAGACGGCTATCATTTATTAGGAAGCTAGGTTTCATCTGGGTGCCTGGTTGGGGTGTGTTTGAGCTAGAGGTATTGGGGGGGGGGGTGTTTGTTTGTGCCCAGGTGGCACAGCAGTAGGCTAGCACCAAATTTAAAACAGGAATGGCTGTGAAAGTCTGACTCACAGACGAACACAACACAGAAGCCTGACGATGTCAGATGAGATTCTGCTGAAACGTTGCTACAACTTTAAAAGCACAACTATAATGACGTGGGAAAATACCCGAACAAAGCTGAATACCATACATGTAAGTACCCGCAAAAACTTAAGAAAACACACACACACACATATATATATGCATATATAAAATCCCTTCTAGCCATCATAAAAATCATAAAAGTGCTTAACGCTAAAAAGAAAATCCTTGATAATCCAACTAGCTTTTTTCTCTTGAAATCTATGTTTCTCAATATTGATAAATTCCTTTAAATGAATTAGTTTTATGAGCGCGTCCAAGGGCCATCCATGATAATGTTTGGTAATTACATGTAGTCCTTGACTTACAACAGTTCATTTAGTGGCTGTTCAAAGTTACAATGGCACTGAAAAAAGTGCCTTATTTTTTCACACTGTAGCATCCCCATAGTCACATGCTCAAATTCTTGGCAACTAACTTATATTTACGACGGTTGCAAGGTCCTGGCCTCACATGATCAACTTTTGCGGCCTTCTGACAAGCAAAGACAATGGGGAAGTCAGATTCACTTAACAACTTAACAACTGCAGTGATTCACTTAACAACTGTGCCAAGAAAGGTCATTAAATGGGGCCAAATTCACTTAAGAAATGTTTCACTTAGCAACATAAATTTTTGACTACCTGCATAATGAAGATTTGTTTTGAAATTGCGACTCCAGTCTTTTAAAGAGCCAGTCCTACACCATAGCAGAGTATTTTAGGTGCTGCCTTTTCTAAACTCTGCTGGTTTCCTCAGACAATTGTTTCTCTTCTCTCTTCCATAAACAGACGTGACCCCTTCAGCAGCCCATGAAGACTCTGATTCTGATTATGAAGACTATGATTTCAGCAAGAAGCCCCCTGTGCCTCTCTCTAATTTCTATAGTGAGCAACCCCCCTTGGTTATCTTTCTCCCCAGTTTATATGCACCTGAATGTTGTGTTATTCCAAAGACTGAGGCAGTCTGTAAGATCCTTTTTCTTCAAAACTCAGGGTCAACCTTCATTGTAGTTCCTATGATGAAAAAGAACCAAGGAAGGATTTCTATTAAAATTGTACCGAGCTACAAAAAGTATTTTTCCTTCAAACCTGAAGGTGTTCTTCCTGGGTTTAGGGGAAAAAAGGCCTTCTTTCCCAAGATAATTACTTCTTCCCCAGACCTTTATTTTAACCCCAATCTTGGGTACACACAGTCAGAGCAACACATGTAAAATGGCCTTATTTCCTGGCAATTATACAACTGTCTTTAAGACACATTTTAGACATCAGTCAATAATGATGCAGAAATTATACCTAAATATAATAATCAGACATCTCCATTCTGAGATGGCCTGCTATTTCCAGTACTAATTGTGAGCATTCTGTCTGATAAGCAATCCATTAACCAAACAGTAAGACTTGCTGCAGAAATGGCAGTGTTTCATTAGGTTCTGTTCTGTTGCATGGATCAAAAGTGTGCAGTTATTAAGGAAAATACCCAGCATGCCCTGCCTTCACCCATATAGAGTAACCAAAACTCTTAGTGGAATAGGGGATTTGATGCCTAGCCAGCATGATGAGCACCATAAACAGATCTTCTATTTTTATTTATAGATAGAGAAACTGAAGGAGCATGACAAGACACTCCCTTCTGGCCAGCAGATCTCTTTGTTCATCTGCTGATATCACACCCAGCCCAAAGTGACCTAGATTCTAGACTTGTCCAGTCAAATTCAGTTCTTTATTTATTCATTCACACCAAATAGACAGAATCTTGCCAGACTAAATCTATCCTACCCTAACACTAATGGATGTACCCTAGGAGAGTCTATGAAGGGACTACCCTAAATCTCTTCCTTTCTCTACAATCCCACTCCACGCTATGTTGTCCCTTGTCTTTTCCCCCTTTTTGGAATGTGCTCCCTCCTTTCTGCACAATTGTCACTTCACTGTAGTCCATCACAACATCACCCTTAGCAGACAAAATCCATTACATCTCACCAGAAAAGAAAAATTCTGATAGAATGGCGATTCCTTGCAAATGCTGCAGATTGACAAGTGTTATCAGAAATCTGATATATTTAAAGATCTACAGCAGCCTGATGTTAAACAGGGTTTTAATTGTACAATCACAAGGCTTGAGCAATAGCTCATTTCCTGAAAGTGATATTATCTCCCAGCATTAAAACTTCTAAGGAAATAAGCAAGGGTGTGACGACCCAATTCTTCCCTCCCCGCAAGGTCTATTTCTAAGAGTTTAATGGACTATTGCTCTGTTTTCAGCTTCTTTTCACTACCAAGTAACTGGTGACCAAGTTTCACCACCTCACAACTTCCCCAAACTGACAACGCGCCAGGAGACCAAACGTCCCAAGGATTATCGACAACAGGGTGAGAGCCCTTTTTTATCTTTTTGTACCATATCCAGTTCTTCTTGACTGTTACTATATCCAGATATCTTTCCACATCTTATACCCTCTGGGATAGATGAGGATCCATTGGTTGTTTTTTTAGCACCGGGCCAGTTTAGCTAGTTCCAAGATCCTGGATTATTTTTTATTATTCTTTTTTCCTTCTCTGTTGTACGAAGTATTTGGCAGGACAATGTTTTTTCCAATCCATAGCACCTTGGGATGGAACAATGATTTCCATCCCTTGTATTCATTATTTCAAATTGGCAGAAGTGGTGGTGGGGGGAATTCTTATAGATTACCTTCTAATAGTATTTGAGAGTTTGAGAAGTGGAAACAATAGCTGTGTAAAACTGTCCTTTAGCAGCTTGGTTCAGATTCTGATATAACATTTGGGATAACCTATGCTGTGGTGTTATTACTATCTTATACTGTTATCTATGTTTCCCAGTCTTTGCCATTCAGATACATTAAGAAACTGAAGCTCACCCAATTTCCCAGCTTTTAACTATATTATTGCCTGAAACTGCAGTCTACATAATCCAAACATGTATCTGAAAGACACAAGATTGGGAATGCTGATACGGGTTTCCCCATCTCCCACCTGCTGTCTAGCACATCATTTCCCAATAAAATTAGATCTCACATGCAATACTTAAAGGTATCAAGTGAGGTACTAATACCACTCTATAAAGCCTTAGTAAGACCACACCTAGAGTACTGCATCCAGTTTTGGTCACTACATGATAAAAAAGATGTTGAGACTCTAGAACGAATACAGAGAAGAGGAACCAGGACGATTAGGGGACTGGAAGCTAAAACATATGAAGAACGGTTACAGGAACAGGGCTTGGCTAGTCTAGTAAAGAGAAGGACCAGGGGAGACATGATAGTGATCTTCCAATATTTGAGGGGCTGCCACAGAGAGGAAGGGGTCAAGCTATTTTCTAAAGCACCAGTAGGCCAGACAAGGAATAATGGGTGGAAACTGAACAAGGAGAGATTTAACCTGGAAATAAGGAGAAACTTTCTGACAGTGGAATAGCTTGCCCTTGGAAGTTGTGGGAGCGCCATCAGGTGAGACCTTCAAGAAGAGATTGGAGTGCCATTTGTCAGAAATGATGTAGGGTCTCCCGCTTGGGCAAGGGGTTGGACTAGATGACCTATAAGATCCCTTCCAACTCTGATTATCTGTTAAGGTTTTAGGGGGTTTTAGGGACAATTTTTTAAAAAAGGCTTCCAAAGATTGCTAAAGCCCCTGACTTCATTATTTGGGGTTTCAGGTTTGGGGTGGGGGAGGAAATGATTTTTCCATTTTAACTATGTATGAATAATCTCAGCCAAGTAGGTACTAGTAACTCTTTTGTCAAGAGAAAGCACGTAAAGACAAATAACAAGCTATGCAGATGCTGGCTTTCCTTTTTTTTATAGACAACTAGCAGAAATCCTTGTATGTGTACTATTGTTTCTCCCCACCCCCTCCATTTTTATGTCCCAGGAACAATAACCAGTCATTATTCTCTTGTCATTGAGCATACTCAGGCTTCATTCAGCTGATTTGCCCTGTCAAATAAAATCCTCATTTGATGCAATAAGTATTAGATGTTAGATGCAACTATCAATGGATATTAATCATGGTGGTTATATATTGCATCAATATCTGAGGAAGTATACCTCTCAATGAAAATTCCCAAGAGGATGGCCATGACTAAAATAGCTGTTGTTGTTTTCCATTTCCTCCTTCACACTTTAGTCAATCATCTCTACATTCACTCCCCTATTTTTAAGACTATAAAAATGCAACTAAACTCTTGGAAGATGAATGTGCAAGAGACTTCTTGAAATTAGTGCCCTCCCAGTGTTTGGGACTTTAGCTGCCATATGGGATTGAAATTATGGAAAATGAAGTCCAATATATCAGGAGAAAACTAGTTTGGGACAAGGTGTAAAAAAACACAAATAAATTAATATTCATCCCTTCCACACACATTTATGGGCTATGTTTTATGGGCATCACACCCCTGTATTCCCACATGACTATTATTTTTGGAGAAGCCTCTACAATAATAATAAACTTCTGGCTTAGTGCTCCAAATAAAGTATAGTATTGCATCATTTTCTAGGGAGTTTACTTATAAGAATTCCTTTTGTTTTCCTTGCCACATGGATCCTGAATTTTTCTCCTCCCTCCTGAAATCAAGGAACAGTGTCTCTTTACTGCTCTTATTCTACTCTCTCAGATGTATCTGAGGAGCAGTTTTGTAGCATCTCCCACACAATGGTTATTGTTTTTCCTTGCTACCAAATAAATGGGCTCTAATGAAGAATGTTGGTCAGATCACAGGTGGTGGTGGTTGTTGTTGCAATCTCCTATTGTTGTTGCAATCTTCCACCAGCTGGAGGAACATTGGTCAAAATCATAGAGTACTTTAGCAGCCACTGGGCATCACTCATGGGACACAGCATGGGTGCTTCAGAAGGGCAGAAAGTGTAGCTCTGTGATTCCATTCAAAGACTCGGGGTTTTCTCCAACAGATCTTACAGCTGAAGACAGTGATAGCACCTCTTCTGGAGATGCAGATTGGTATGAGAATATCCACAAACCGCAGCAACACGTGGAGCAACAAGGAGAGGAACCCTCCTTTGCAGGTGAAGAATGGATGTCTTAAAAGCAGGTGCATAGCCTTTAATTAGTCAATTAGTGTGTTGTTAATAAAAGATATTGCAAAGTAAAATACCATATATATGGTGGTATTTTACTTTGCAATATCTATCTAGATATCTCTCTACATGTACATGTACATCTCTATATCTATATCTATATATATCTACATCTACATCCATCTATCTATGTATATTTATCTATAACTATATATCTATATCTATCTATATCTATATATTTGTATCTATATCTATAATCTGTTGTCATCCTCATGTAAGCATAGGTCCTTCATGTTGCAGTCCGCTGGGTGAAATATCCTTTAAAGCAGCTTTGCCCTCTTGTCTCCCTCCAGATGTGCTGGGGTTAGAATTCAAGGAATTCTAGTTCAATGGGAAAGGCTGTTCAGGAAGGGCTTGTCAGAGCATTCATCTCTCATAGCAATACTTTTCTCCCATTCATTCCAAAAGATTACGGCTATATAATTAGATCACCAGATTTCTCAGCTAATCTCCTAACCATATTCTGCAATACTGCCTTTTGGTTCTTGGATCCTGAGCTGATTATTCTTCTCTCCTTTTTTTGCTTCAGGCTTAACAGTTTTTGCCAAACCTTGGTCAAACAGCTTGACTGGCTCTGGAAATGATTCATTAGATAGCAGTGAACATCATAACATGTGATCCTAAGGCCCTGGGCTGCTGAAAGGAGACAGCTTCATGCCTGGTCTCTTCTACAAAAATGGCCAAGGTTGGCAACAATATCCTGAGAACTGAGAGAGACCATTTCCCACATTTTCAGCCTTGAGGACTCAGCATTGAAGAAATAGACCAGAGGATCTCAGGATCTTCAGCAATTGCAAAGACGCATCAATGACCATTTCCCTCCCTGGTTCAATGAGAAATATGCCACCCTTATAAAGACACATATTTCTATCCTACCCTACCATGGGAGAACTCTGTGGGGGGTTAGGATTAGCACTGAACTCTGGATTTGATTCCCTTTATTTGATTTTGTTTTGTCACACAGTGAGGTGCCATCAAACCAAGATGCAATTTCAAAATACTAGCTAACACAAATGAGCAGAATGATCCAGCCACATCACCTTGTTAGGATGTTGCTGCCACCTTTTCAGGACCTCTCTTCCAGGAACCAAGAGGCCAGTTTTGTCTTTGAGGAAATTGTTAGCTTAAAGGCCTGAGACTGCTTAGTGTTTTTTTGGGAAGCAATGGGATTCTCTCATGGATGAAATTAGATGCCAATACTGCTTCTCTCTCTTAAAAGATTCTAAAAGGACGGTGTAGGTTTTTAATATTGAAGGCCTAAGCTATGAAATGCTAAATGTGTGGCAGAAACTGTCAAGCCATTCAAATTATGTGCATATGTGCATGAAAAATTGCACTGCCTTGTATTTACTATGTATGGGCTGTTATCGTCCCACATTTTCCAATTTTCTAATCACCAAAAAAAAAAAAAAAAAGAAGGGAAAGATTAAGGAAATCTATACTTAAGCACCTCATGGTGATCAATGAAGAAGGCCTAAGCCAGGGGTATCCAAACTTGGCAACTTTTAAGACTTGCAGACTTCAATTTCAACATAGCTAGAAATTCTGAGTGTTTGAAGTCCACAAGTCTTAAAGTTGCCAAGTTTGGATACCCCTGGCCTAGGATGTTTCCAAATCGAGTTTGTGCATCTGTGAGAGAGGCAGAGCAAGTGTATCACTAGGTTTCCCCATTTGTAAAAGGTAAGGGAGAGATCCAGACACCAACTCTCCTATATTTCCTCACCACTTGTTCTACTAAGGAGGGAGATACAGGTTGTTTAGACCATCTTTTTTTTATTGGTAACTCCTCTCAGCTTGGAAATGTCCTAAGTGACCCATCAAACAAGACTAGGGCGACCATGTATCATCTACAAAATCTAGAAAAACCACTAAATGACAGCAAAGAGACAATTTTATGTTTCTTTGCTGCCATTTTAGTGTCATGGATTATTGCAGACAGAATGTAATTTGTCTGGCTTTAGCCTAGTATCTTATCTGCTGTGTAACCTTTGCAATTATGGCTTGGAAAGGATGGTTTATACTTAGATGTACTGCAAGAACTAGCCTACCTTGGTTAATTCAGTAAGCCGTATTTAGACCGATTACGACTTGGTATGCCATGCCAAAGTAATTATAGTATGGAAAACTTTCTTTTTGTTCTTGTGTACAGGAAATGGGTAGTGATGTTCAGCCCCTTCAGAGCAAGATTAATGTTTTTCTCTGGGATGCCTCTGAGATGTGTGTAGCTCTGTGATTTAATGAGCTGGAAGTAGGACAAAACACTGTTCAAAAAGCATTTGTTTGAATGTCAAGTGTGAAGCCTCTCAAAACAGAGTAAGGTGCACAGTTGCTAGAACAGGAAGACTCTAACAATATAAGCATAATATATATACCGGTATATATATCTAAAGGAAACTGTATGTTGTCTTATTACTCATTCTCAGAGTATGAGCAGCATTGCTGCATTCATGTAATTATCTCACTAGAGAAAGAGAGAAAGCTTTGCCTTGGGTTTGGGCATCTTTTTTTAAATATCCTTTGCAGATTTTGCAAGTGGAGAAGACACTGAGACCTCAAATAGAATGTTGCAATATGATTGGCACCTGGGTTCATTCTATTTGCTTATCCCTAATTACATTTTTCCTGATCTCACCCTAGCTTTTTTTTATTATGAAGCATGCTTTTTCTTCATTGCATTGATCTGAACACTCCTGCAATAAGATGCCTATGCATGTTGATTATGCACTATAAAGTTGGCATTGACTTTTAGCAACAACATAGGCAGATTTTTTTTTCATGCTGATCTGTCCCTAACCTGTTGCTTCAGGTCTTCCACCAGTGTACCCATCCCCACTATAAAAAATCCATCCACAATACTCAGGGGTGGCCTTCAAAAATTTTAGCAATGGGTTCTCTGCCTGGTTGCTGGGTGGGCAAGGCCATGGTGAGCATGGCCTAGTCGGCCTCCTGAACCACCATGGGGAGGGGGTGTTTTTGCCCTCCCCGGGCTCTGGAAGCTTTCCTTGAGCCTCTGGGAGGGCGAACACGGCCTCCCCGAGCTCGGGAGGCTCTCTGGAAGCCAGAAATGGGCCCATTTCCAGCTTTCCCAAACTTCCAGGAGGCCCATTTTTTGCCCTCCCCAAGCCTTCATGCGTGCCCTGCACTTCTCTGCATCCAAAACGGGCCACGTGGGGACTCCTGGGAGGGGTGGGACGGGGTGGGCAGGGCCAGCCAGGAGTGGGATTTGAGGATTCTCTGAACCGTGCAGAATCTTAGCTAGAGGGTCTCCTGAACCCCTACAAACCCCCAGCAGCCCACCCCTGACAATACTTCTAGTCATTGCCTTCTTTTCTGTTCCACTTTTCTCAGTATTCCCAGCATCAAAGAACTGGGTTTCTGCATAAAGTGTCCAAAGTAGGATAATTTGAGCCTGGTCATCAGTGCTTTAAATGAGAACTATGGGCTGATTTGCTAAATGATCCAATTGTTGGTTTCCTTAGCTGTTCACAGTGTTTTCAAAAATCAGTTTCAATACCTAGTTCAAAAGTGTCAATACTGTTTCCATTAAAATCTGGGCTATGCATTAGCATGGCAGTATTCTTTTCAGGATCAATTGCTCATAAACAGAATAAAGGACAGACAAGCAGCATGATCTCCTACAGTAATAGTTCTGGTGCTTCTAGATAACTCCCTTGATGCCTAATAGCTCCATACAGCAAATAACATTCAAATACATATACATACACACATACATATACTGGACAAAACAAAACAAAGTACTGGCATATTTATTTCCACCAATACCTTTTAGCATCCCAACATTCTGGCTGCTAAGTCAGTTTCTGGACAAAGAGGTAGTTTAGGATTGGCCATCTCCTTCACTGATGCCATTTTTTGTCTAGACAAGTCTCTTATGGCAGCCATTTTGTGTGCCCATCCCCTGCATGCTGTCAAACTGCCCACCAGCCCAAAAACGGTTAGTCCGATCTGGGATGCATGAAGTTCTCTGATGTCTTCCTTGTGGTCTTCTTAGAAGCTACTATGGGAAACAGGATAGTAGACTTGAGAAGCCTTTGATCTGACCTAGTCATCTTTTTCCTATTTTTTTCCCCAATATAAATGATAAGGGATTATAAATGATTGGCAGGAAGAGTTACTTCAAAGGAAAGGAATGTTCAGTAACACCAAAAGATTGAATGAAGACAGGGAGTGAATATTGAGTCAGTAGACATCTATATAGTTTTTCAATACCAACACCCAAAAGGGAGCTGAATATTTTACCACCCAGCAGAAGTGCTGTGGTCTCATACAGAATAATAATATGCACATCACCTCTCAACTGCAACTTATTTATATTGAGGGTCACCTTTTCCCTCTACAGAGAGAGAAAGAATCTCTACCAGTTAAGCCCTTTGAGTTGATACCTAAAAAAAGATTTGTACAATTCAGAGGAAACCAATCCGAATGTTGTACAATAATTCAATGGAGAAAACTGAACAAAACAGTCTTTGGGGCTCAAAACAGTTCTCCCCTGCCTGGAGTTTAACAATCCCCACAGAGGGAGTTAGAACGTGTTGGCAATTTAGGATTTTAGACATGACTCTGGAATACCAATTTAGTGTACTTGGAACAACTCCACCTTGAATAAAATTCAGGGTCTATTTTGTTGGCTTCTTTGGTGTTTTGGATTTGGGAACAAAAGGTACCTTGATGAAGAAAACAAACCAATACTGGGGGGTGGAGATGATTGCATTAAAGAGTTTTAGAAAGATGCTTTGTTCATCTTCCCTTGTGTGCTCCAAAGCAACTGTAGAAAGTTAGCACCCACCCCTCTCCTAGAAGAATGAAATATTCTAGGAAATATTAAAAAGGCAGAATATTCTACCTCCTTGGATGAGAAAAGGTGAAACATGCTCTTGGAAAGCAGCCCCCGCCTTTGTTAATAGCCTCAGCAGATATTTTGGTGCCAGCTTATCTACAAGACAAAAGACCTTCAGCTCCAGGGTGATAGGATTGGCCCTCACTCAAGATCCAAACCAGGACAAAGCCATTAAGCCATAATAGGAATTGCCCAAAGCCCCTTCATTACATCACCCAGCAAGATCCAACCAAGCCTGGGACTCAAGACAACCCACAAAGTTACCCCTGAATGACCGCATGGGAGTCTGACAACCAATCAGAATACATTTCTTTCACAGGACAGGAAGTAAGTTCAAAGCGCAAGAGAGGGTATAAATCTCTCTCTCTTACCCATGTGCTCAATTGCCCAGGACCTCAAACCATGTGGTCCTGTCCACCATTAAACCGTCTTTCCAAACAGCTTCCATGTTTCCAGTGTCTTTCTCCCCACTTGGAACTGAACCCAGAGGGACATTTCTTCCAACACAACTTTTCCCAATTGTTTCCAAACTGCTGCACAGCCCTACTGCACTAATCAATCTTTAAAAAGTTACAGCCAGAGACATGGACAGGAGCAAAGTATGTATAATGTGCATAATGCTGTGGAAAACTAGATAGGGAACATGATGCCTTTTTATATTGTTTTTATTGGTTGCTCTGGGCTGCCGAGGATTACCATGTGAAGTGGGCAGCCATATTGGCTCTTTAAATAAATCAAATCAAATAAATTAACAATGTCC